GAAGAGGGGCCCCAGCCCAGGGAGCATCCACGTGGCCTCCTCTGGACTCGCTCCAACCAGTCGATATCCTTCTGATGTATAATTGATATAATTCAGAAGAAACCCCCCTCCCCCCAGGGAGAGTTCAAACAGAAAAGAATTTGTTGGCACACTGAACTATCCCGTGAAATCAACTGTTGTCTTCCAGCAGCTCTGATCACCTAATCCGGCTCTTGACTGACGTGGGGGGATGCACACTGCTGGCAGATTCAGGAACAACAAATTCTGCCCCAGGGACAGCGGCTGTAAAAGCCACAGGACTCGGAGCTTCTGCATTGCTGAGGTTTAAAAAACACACAGGTACATCATCTGGAAGGTCATTTTCCCTGCTCCTGCTCTGCCCCAACACCTCATGGGCTTCATGCAACAACCTGCTTCATCTATGCCTGGAATGGACGCCTCGGAAGTATTTTGGGCACGGCAGAGCTCAGCACAGCCACCCCTGCACGGCAGCAACGTGAACACGCCAGCCAACTGCTTAGGGCCACACCGTCTGCACTCGAAGCACCCTTACTCCCATCAGGGTCACTACAGATACCACCACCCTCACAGCGCCACGAGACCAGTGTTAGGAGGTCACGTGTCTCCAAATCTGCCTTTGACACACAACACTGCACGCAGCTACGGCGATCACGCTGCAGCCGAGCCCCCTTCGCACATGAGCCGAGTACACGGGGACAGGCAGGGGCTCCACAGGCAGGTGCTCCAGCCTCTGTGATCCTTCCTCTAGTGTGCATGGAGATGGCGGGCTGCTCCTCCAAAGCACCCGAGTCCCGGCCGTTCCGTACCTGGAAGAGGGGGCAGGTCGTCTGTATTAACACTCAGCAGCTTCGGCCACACTTTGCACCGAATCTCGTCGGTCAAGAGCCCGCCCTCGCTGATGGCCATCCGCCGGAGCGCGGCCACGTCGATGGGGTCGCTGTTCAGGGCCTGGTAGATCTCCGCCACTTTTCGCTTCTTCTTAGAATCAAAGTCTGTAAGAAAAGCACAGAGGGGGAAGCTGACAGGCAACACTGGCACACGGGAGGCAGCAACTCAGATCCAGGGGGCAAAATCCACTCACAGCAGTGTCACACACACGACAAGGGAGATGACACGGGACACACACCCTGCCAGGACGTTCAGGGACAGCTCCAGGGGGTCACCCACCAGCCGACTGTTCCCATCTCCACCAGCTCGGTGTCAGTGACACCCCCACCACTTCCCAATCAACGCCCAGGGCCCACCCTGGGAGGCCACCGCTGACCCTCCTGACACGGGAGTGGCCGATGCAGACCCCTCGGCTCCCATAGTCCCCAACAGATCGCGGCTCCGTCCCGGCCTGTGACAGCCGTGCAAAGCCATCCCGCAACTGTTTGCTCTCCGACACAGCCGCCAGCTCAGGCGTCACGTGTTTCCTAAGACCAGGACTTTGTGTTCCTACCAGCTCCCAGCTAGAGAGCGGCTCCTGGAAGCAGCCGTCCTAGGGAGAATTCCAAGAGTTTCCAGCAACAGCCAGAAGAAAGGACAAAACTATACCAGAGTTAACGAATCCCAAGCATACTGAGATCTCTCCCAAGAAACACAAACTTCCCAGCTATCACTGTACGCACGGGTTAGTCGGTATTACACAAGTTCCGCTGTTTTGGGGAGCATGAGAACCCCGGGGTGGGTAGCAAAGGGAATAACACACAAAGCACACGGTGCTCTGGGATCTGATGGGTTAATGGCACTTACAGGACATGAGAGCGCTTCCCAGGAAGCTGAGAAGGGACACTATTTCCCATTGCATCGTGGTATTTGTCACCGCTGCGAGGAAGGAGAGAGGCGGCCGAGGGCCACCTGATACCCCGCAGCGAAGGAGTTTCCACTAAGGGAGCTTTGCTGAGCAGCCGCGGGGCTGGAGCACAGGATGAGGCCACAAACGCTGCCTTTACCTAAAAGATTTTCCCGACAGATCCAACTAACACCGCTCTTGGGATCCACACAGGATTCGTCCGATCGTGTGTCCGAACAGGATTTGGCGTGGGAGGAATTAAAAGGATCTTGATGGAGAAACAGCTGTTTCTCAAGGCTGCGCCCTCCCGGCAGCGACTCGGGGAGCCCACGTGGCACCTCCGGCATCTCGGCGCTGCCCCGGCCCTCTCCCTGCTCCCGGGGAGCTGCGTGCGAGCTGGAGAGTCTCTCCGGACGGGAGACGGTGGGACGGCAGGCTGCTCAGACACACGGGCTCTAAGTAGGTCAAGGGGTGGATGCTGTGCCTCCTCAAAATCCCCTTTTCAGGCACTTACTGAACGAAAACAAGCTGTAACAGCCTACAGCAGATCTCTGACGCCCCTCGAAACACCAAGTTCTGGGTGAACATTAAAGCTTCCAACGCTCACCCAGCGACTACCATTTCCTTTCCCACCCCTTGTGCAAGCAGAGGTGTTTGCACACACACAGAAACCAGCTCCACTCAGCTGACTCTTCCTGATCGGCTGCGGCACGCCGGGCTATCAAATACCGAAGCCTTGGGAAGGAGGAGACAAAGCCTACGGAGGAAGAAACTCCTCTTCACACGCAGAACTTAAGGAGTAGCACGTATTACGGGCTCTGCTTCCAAGATTTACTGCCCAACATCCCTACATTTCCACTGCTCCAATGTCCAGCGCACCACAGCTTCCAGTATTACAAAAGTGCTGCAGAAACCTTTTTGTGCACCCACAAAATGCCAACTTGTAGCATTAGTTACGCTTTAAAGGAGAAACAGAAACACAAGCTGAGAGCACAGGGGCTTAGGGCAAACCCTACCGGCATGGGAAGTCCCCCCGCCCGGCCAGGAGTGGGTTTTTATTCACTTCTGCAGCTCAAACCAGCGCCCGAAGAGCTCTCGCTAAGGAGCCCAGCCCCCGCCTGCGTGCGGGGACGGCAGATGCTCTCCCAGGGCCCAAGAGGGATCACGGCCCACACCGGAGCGCGGTCCCGGAGCCAGCCCTGCATCCCCAACGGCTGAAACACGCGGCTACCGGGCTCGGGCAGTG